AGCGGTGGGGGCTGTGGTGATGGGCACCGGCGCTGCTAATGGCTGTCCGTACGTGACGGGCGTGGGGCCGTCTGATGGGTATGGGTATTGCATGCGCGGGTGTCGGGGTGTTCCTCGTATCATATTCTGGTGCGACATCTGCTGCTGCAATGGTTGGCCAAACTCGGATCTCATGGGCGACGCGGCGCCGGTAGTGTATTGCATGTGAGGTCTATCGTAGGGACTGTTAATGCGTTGTTGGAAACGACCCGACATTTGAGGCATCGACTGGTGAGATAACTGGGAACTGGAGGGCGGCATTGAGCGCCTCTGCGACGGGTATGGTGTGTGCTGGTACTGTATGGGCCCCGTATTGGCACCCATGGGCGACATATTCGCCGGTATGACCAGTCGCTGTCGCATGTCGGGGCTCGTCAGTGAGGTATACGTGTTGGCGTCGGGCCTCATGGACTGCATTTGCGATCGCATGTAGTTCTGAGTCGACGGCGGCATACGGTTTGGTATCATTTGCGAGTTGCGGTGAATCTGATCCGGATATAAGTTCATTTGGGGAATGTATTGATGGGAACGGCTCTACAAAAAAAGGCATAAAACATAAAACAGTTATAAAACACATGAAACACATGACTAAAATATGCCTCAAAAACCTGAGTTATCTGTGTCTGTGTTGCGGACATCTGCTGAGGAATAGAATGCGAAGACATTGGAGACATTTGGGTCATAGACGGCGTCCGCATCAGCGTCTGTATCGATGGTATGGTAGTGGGTGTGGTGGGAGGGCGGCCGGCGGCGCGCATGAATTGACTGTTTGCGCCGCACGGCATGATCGACGACATGGATGGCAAACGGGTGGGCCTGGGAGGCGGCTGTGGGGTCCTGTGGGTCGCGTAAATCGGGTGATTCGTTTGGGTCAGTATCGGCCAACTGGAGGCGTCGGCCACTTGCGACTCAGTCACGGGGATCGGGTGCTGGTGGGGCCCCATAGGCCTCAGCGACGACGACTGCATCGACATTAGGCTCGAGTTCATTGTGATGGTGGACGATGTCGTGGACATGGGATAGCCCTGCGTGTGCACCGGTATGCTATCGAGTTTATCCGCGTCTCCTAATTACACAAAATTGAATTTTAATTGAAAAAAATCGCTTAAAACACGTGACAAACAAATCAATGTTTACTGTGATTGAGGTTAATGTTAACGATAGCGCCGGCGTCTTGCGCTGAGCTCAACATAATGTCGCTTAAGATGTTGGACGTGGTCTGGAGCTCGCAGTTGGCGGTTGTGGTGATCGGGTGGGCCATTGGTTGAGCGTATGAGGGATGAGTGTGCGGTATGGAGTGGTGGTGCGGTCGCATCGGTGGCGCCATAGCCTGTGATTGAGTGATGGGTGGCTGCATGGGTGCCATCATTTGGTTAGCATTGCGTGATTCTCGCGATTGCGGGTAACAGTCGGCGATATTGATCACCCGATTGTCTCCATAACCCGAAGGTGGCGACCAATTGGTCGACTGAGGCACTGGCGGTGGCATTGAGCGGCTGTCCGACGACTGGTGCATGTCTTGTGTGCCATTAAACAGGTCTCCAGTGACTGTCGAGTGAACGCAAAAACAAATGAATTTTCATAAAACAAACAAACGTTTAGTGAAAATCAAGAAATTAATGTCAAAAAAACACAAATAAAAACATGAAACGAGAGTTTATGTGCAAATCATGCATTACTGTAGGTATTGTAAAATAAAGCACTTTTTCATCTCATTCTCGTATGAAATCAAATCAAAAATCAAATCAAATACCTATTGAACTGTAATCTAATAACTCATGCGATTTATCGCCAATAGACTGATA